TCAAGGTTCCTTCCATGAAACTAGCTCCTTGATTCATAGGTCCCTTTCGTGTCCTCCGTCGTATAAACCCTGTGACTTATTCATTGGCACTCCCTGCTCATATGAGAATTGCTAATTCCTTCCATGTATCATTGCTTAAGCCCCTCACTTGCAATTGATACACAAAAAATGATTGTTCCTCCTCCGCTCTTGGTAATCAATAGGAGTACGAAGTCCAAAAATTTTAGACTCCAAGTTCTCTAGAGGTGTTCTGTCTTATCTGGTTGACTGGAAGGGATACGGCCCGGAGGAATGTAGTTGGGTTCTTGCGGACCAGGTTCATGCTCCCCGTTTTGTCCGGTCATTTCACAACCGTTTTCCTCGCAAGCCGGCTCCTTCCCGCCCGGTGAGCGGTCTTCGAGTGGGAAATACTGTCACGGCCCCCGGCTCCCATGTGTGTCCCTGCCCGACCGGCACGACCGCACCAACTTACTGAGCTTACCTGCTCAGCGGCGAGCCGGGAACCGTTCCTCCACGCCGCTCAAAGAAATCCAAGATGGCGCCGACCATGAGCTCGCGTCCATCCATGGCTCCATCCCCCAAAATTATATGAACGTGTGCGTGACGTCAATCAGAGCCTAGAGAGGGATATTTAAATCCCTAATTCACCCCAATACCTTGCCCTGTTGTGATTTCCTGTTCCTGGTTCCCTAGAGTGCGTTTATCTTTGTGAATATTACATCCTGGTAACCTGATCTTGGCTTTTCCCTGGTTATTCTGAATTCTGGTTCCCCTGACTTGGCTTGTTTAAACGGTATCTGAGTATTTCTGGCTTCCTTGACCTTGGCTTTCCATTTGACCATTCTCTATCTCTAGCGTATTAGTCCGGCCATTCTAAGATCCGGTTTACGCTCTGTCCTTTTATTTCCTTTCCTTTTGTATGTATATGTTTACATAGTTTCTGCGTGTTGGACCACACTAGCAGCCGTGACAAAGGTACAGACAAGTCTGGTGGGATCCAAACCTGGTTCATTTTAATAAACGTGAACTTGTCCACATTGGCTGTGGACAGGAGGCTGCTCTTGTCTGTGATAACCCCCCTGCTGTGCTAAACACACGTTCAGACAATACACTGGCTGCAGGGAAGGCCAGCACCTCCAAGGCATAAAGGGTAAGCCCAGGCCATGTGCCCAATTTGAAGACCCAGAAATTGAATGGGGAAGACCCATCCGTCAGTACATGTAGGCGTGTGCACACGTACTGTTCCACCATGTTGCTGAAATGCTGCCTCCTGCTAAGACGTTCCATATCAGCTGGGGGTGCTGGTTGTTGTGGAGTGCTGACAAAGCTTTTCCACATTTTGGCCACGCTAACCCTGCCTTCTGAGGTGCTGGTGGTGCCCCAGCTGCATTGGCAACCTCTTCCTCCTCCTCTGCCTTCGCCTTGTGCTTCCACTGAGCCCCCGGTGTCAGTTGGGAATGCCCTCAGCTGCGCCTTTACCAGCGTGCCCTTGTAGTCACGCATCTTCAGATCAAGTTCCAGTGAGGGAATTAAGGACGGTACGTTGTCCTTGTAACAGGGATCCAGCAGGGTGGCCACCCAGTAATCAGCACAAGTTAGAATGTGGGCAACTCGGCAGTCATTGCGCAGGCACTGCAGCATGTAGTCGCTCGTGTGTGCCAGGCTGCCCAGAGGCAAGGACAAGCTGTCCTCTATGGGAGGTGTATCGTCTGTGTCCTCCGTATCCCCCTAGCCATGCTCCAGTGATGCCCACGAGCTGCATTGGGTGCCACCCTGTTGTGAACACCGTTCCTCCTCCTCCTCCTCCTCCATCTCATCCTCCAGAACTGTGCCCTGGCTGGACAATTGTGTACCTGGCCTATGTGTCACGTATTCATCTGCTTATAAAAATGTGGTTAATGGCATTTACTGTCTACACATGAAAAATTGTGCCGAGCAGCAACCAAATTCACAGAAGCAATAATGCAAATGGGAACCTGGTAACTGCCTTTGGGGTCAAAGGCCGGTTACAGCCTATCAGATCTGGAGGAGGTGTATTTAGGCCCAGTTCTCATCCTGCTCAGTGCCCTGTCATTGTTTCCCTTGTGGTTGTCCGAGAGCACATTATTGATTCTGGTTATTCGACTTTGGCATTGTTTTTGACTTCCCTGTTTTCTGGCATCCCTGACTCCTGGCTTTTCCTTATCGTTGTGTCTCTTTCTGTTTCCCTTGACCTCGGCTATTCCTGACTATTCTTTGGTACGTTAGTCCGGCCATTCTAAGGTCCGGTATACGTTACCTATCAGTCCTCTGTGTTACACAATTCTACGTGCTGGATCATTCTATAATCCTGACACTATGCTGGTGCAGGAATCCACCCTCCGAGCCACTTGTGAATGACTGGCTTGATAACCATGGAAATGACCCCTCCTCCTCTTCCTCCTGTGCCACATCCTCTTCCATCATCACCCGAAGCATTTTTTCAAGGAGACATAGAAGCCGGATAGTAAGGCTGAGAACGGCATCAGCGGCACTGGCCATGTTGGTGGAGTACTCAAAACAGTGCAACATGGCACACAGGTCTCGCATGGAGGCCCACTCATTGGTGGTGAAGTGGTGCTGTTCCGCAGAGCGACTGACCCGTGCGTGTTGCAGCTGAAACTTCATTATCACCTGCTGCTGCTCACACAGTCTCTCCAGCATGTGCAAGGTGGAGTTCCACCTCGTGGGCACGTCGCATATGAGGCGGTGAGCGGGAAGGCTGAAGTTACGCTGCAGCGCAAACAGGCAAGCAGAAGCAGGGTGAGAACGCCGAAAGCACGCACACATGGCCCGCACTTTCTGCAGCAGCTCTGATATATCTGGGTAGTTTTTCAGGAATCTCTGCACCACCATATTCAGCACATGCACCAGGCAAGGGATGTGCATCAAACCGGTTAGGCCCAGAGCTGCTATGAGATTTCGCCCATTATCGCACACCACCAGGCCAGGCTTGAGGCTCAGTGGCAACAACCACTCATCGGTATGTTGTTCCATGCCCGTCCACAGCTCCTTCGCGGTGTGGGGTTTTTCCCCCAAACATATGAGTTTTAAAACAGCCTGCTGTCATTTCCCCCTGGCTGTGCTGAAGTTGGTGGTGAAGGTGTTACGCTGACCGGATGAGGAGGTGGTAGGAGGAGGAGGAAGCGGAGTAGGAGGAGGAGGCAACAGGAGGCAAAGAGATATGCCCTGCCATCCTCGGTGGTGGAAGGACATGCGCCAAACTGCTATCCGCCTCAGGCCCAGCTGTCACTACATTTGCTCGGTGTGCAGTTAGGGAGATATAGCATCCCTGCCCGTGCTTACTGGTCCACGTACTGGTCCACGCATGGACCTTGTCACAGATGGCGTTGCGCAGTGCACACCTGATTTTGTCCACCAATTGGTTGTGCAGGGAAGTGTTGGCTCGCCTCGAAAAGTAGTGGCGGGTGGGAACCACGTACTGTGGGACAGCCACCGCCATCAGGTTTTTAAAACTGTCCATCTCAACCAGACAGAATGACAGCATTTCAAAGGCCATGAATTTTTAAATGCTGGCCTTCAGGGCCAGGGATCGAGGGTGGGTAGGGGGGTACTTCCTCTTTCTCTCTAGTATTTGGGAGATGGACAACTGAACGCTTCCATGGGACATTGTGGAGATGCTTAGGGACCGTGGCGGACCTAGTGGCGTTCGTGCAACATCCTCTGCTTGCGGGGTGGCAGAAGAGGAAGCAGGAGGAACCTGAGACCTTTCTTGGTTTTTGAGGTGTTTACTCGACTGCAGCTCGTGCTTTGCATGTAGATGCCTGGTCATGCAAGTTGTGCTCAGGTTTAGAATGTTTATGCCTCGCTTCAGGCTCTGATTGCACAGCGTGCAAACTACTCGTGTCTTGTCGTCAGCACATTGTCTGAAGAACTGTCACGCCAGAGAACTCATTGGAGCTGGCTTTGGTGTGCTTGGTCCCTGGGTGCGGTGGGCAGAAGCAGACATACTGTCCAGGGAACGGACGCTCCGCTTTTGCACCCTGCTCCCTCTTATGCGATGCTGGTGCCTCTGTGCGACCACCACCTCTTTCTCAAGACTACACACGTCACTCGCATGACCTTGATTCAATGTGGGGTCTAGGACCTCATCATCCTCCACATCATCTTCCACCCACTCCTCAACCCTGCCCTCCTTGCTGGTCAGTACACTGCAGAAAGCCACAATAGTTGGTGTTTCGTCATCATCAGAGACGTGCTGACGTGGTCCTCGCTTGTCCACATCCTGAAACATAAGCAGTTGTGCATCAGTGCACTCAATCTCTTCCACTTCTGGGGAAGGGCTAGGTGGATGGCCCATGAAAACGCTACCAGCAGAGTCATCAAAAAGCATTAGAGACTGCTGCATGACTTGTGGCTCAGACTGCTTTGCTGATTTGCAAGGGGGTGAGGTGCAAGACAGATGGCCATGGGCTGCAGGTGCCGGCTTTCAGCAGGGGATCAGGTGGGAGACAATGTGAAGGAACTGGAGGCACTGTCAGCCACCCAATCTACTATCGCCTGTACTTGTTCTGGCTTCACCATTTGTAGAGCGGCATTCGGGCCTACCAAATAACACTGAAGGTTCTGTCGCCTACTTGCACCTGAGGAAGGTGTTTCACTTGTGCGTGTAGCTGGCCCAGATTTACCACATCCTCTACCTGCATCAGGAGCTCAACCAACACCAGCAGCACCACAATCAGGGCCAGATCCCCTATTTGACGCTCTCCTCATTCTTTGCGTTCACCCACCAAACTAACCAATGGTTTATGTCAGACGACAATGTAATCGCCAATAGTCAACAATTAAGTTCACTGACAGCAAGGCAGTGCCGGTGTGTTAAAGAGAAAAAAATTCTAGAGGTCACAAAACAGTGTGACAGGCGTAATTAATACAGTTACTTCACTGTCTCAAAAAAGTGTGATTTTTTTAAACCAACACTGTAAGAGTCCTCAACTACCGATCATATCTGTTTTGGTTAGGTCAATCATATCGATCCCTCAACGTGGTTAGATCGGCCATCTCAGCGACACACATCCCGGTACAAGGCATTTCGGTTTGTCGGCTACCGCAGGGTGCTAAACTGTCGAGAGCTCCAGCACCGAAATATTCACGCCTGTGGCATGTGGATGTGGTGATGCGTTTCCTAAGAGATTGGCCGGATAACACGTACGTTTCACTGAAACAGCTTTCGGCCAAACTTGCCCTCTTACTGTCACATCCTATCCTGTTCTGCGGAGATGTCTGACCTGGTATCCAGTACTCTTTTTACAATTCTTGTTTAGTTTTTCTTGGTTTTTCTGGTTTTCTATTCCATGTCTGGTTTTCTTTGTGCTGGGTTTTCTGGGTTCATTCCCTTATTCCGTTCCTGGAAATCCCAGTCTCCTGGATTCCTTAATATGTTTGTTTTATGTTACCACACCCGTTCCTGGTTCCTGCAGGCAGTTGCTCCTCTGCAGGTAAGTGCTGTGTGTGTTTTATTATTGTTTATTTCGTCATGCATATCTATGCAGATAGGAACCCACCATAATTGGAGTACTTTGACGCAGTGGTGGGCTGCATATTTCTTGGTCATTTATGTATGTCTAAATCTCCAATGTTTTACATATATAGTACTTATATAGTATAGTTATGTTTCCTCTTGTTTTGCCTTGCATCTCTGGTCTTGTTTTTGTCTTGTATTCCCAGTTTATGTACAGTCCTGACAAAGAAAAACGTTACCTGCGCTCTGGCCTAGATCCCCATGTGCATTTGAACAAAAAAGGAGGCTCTTTAGTTCTATTCTAAATGGCCATTTGAATATGTAAGCTCACCAGCCACGTCAAGGCAAGCCTCAATAGGTGAGTTCCTACACTAGCCATTAGATACGCTGATATCAGCCAAGAGTCTCCAATAATAATAACAGTCCTGTCCTGCCCTATTCATGTTTCCCTCATGTCTTGTTTACATGTTCTGGGTTCTGCTTTCTGTCCTGCTCCGGGTTCTTCTAGTCTTGTCTTGTTTTCTTGTTAGGTGCCTGTCCTAGCCTGTCCTAGCCTGTCCTAGCCTGTCCTAGTCTTGCCTTGTTTCTGTACTGGATACATATCTTCTGTAGAGCTTTCCTATCCAGTTCCTGGGAGGTATTCATATCATGAAGCTCCTGGATCCGCAGTAGCTGCATCAGGGTCCTGGTATATGGCCCCACAAACGCTGGTGCTCAACACCAGTGGGCGTGTGGTTACCCTGCACCAGGCCCTGATAATCCACTTCCATGCTGAAGACTCCCATCTTCTCATCAGACACATAAGGGGTCCCGGTCTTCGGACCGCCACCCATGACACTTTCGGCAGGTGGCGGATGTTAGGGCGTTCGACATAGACACACTTCAGAAGGGGTTACGATATCACGTCATACTAAGTAAGACTCCTCTTTGGTTTTTCTACCCATTCTTTCTAGCAGACCCCATACTATGTGTGATCAGGACATTAATGCGATATACCGAAATCTCAGCTCCTCTCCGAACTACTTCGGCAGGTCAACTTTTGATTTTATATGTGAAGCCTCATGGATCAGCGTCTATGATGACATTGGCCAGATGGGTCCGTTAGCTACTATCGTTAGCCGGCGTTGAACAATGCTTTGGGGCCCACTCAGTTAGAGGTGAGGCCGCTTCGCAAGCTTTATCGGCAGGAGCCTCTCTTGCCAATATTATGCGCTGTGCGGATTGGACGTGCGAGAGTACATTCAGGACGTTTTATTTTTCGCCAGACGTCTCATGCTTCTCTCACGTTGGTTAATTCTCAGTGTTAAAAATGCAAAATATGAAGCCTTCTGTCATGTGGTAAAATTGAAGATTATATTAGCTTTAGTGTACTAATAATCGTAATTTTAGTAATGACAGGAGGCAAATATTTCCCACCCTACTTTTCCCTCCCGAATTGTAGTTATGACTATTAGAGATGTCGCGAACCGTCCGCGAACGTCTCGTGGCGAACTCCGGTCAGCTGACACATTCCGGCCAATCTCCTCTTACTTCCTGGACAGCATCCATGTTGAAGGCATCTTCAACATGGATGCTGTCTAGGAGGTGGGAGGGTCTGGGAGGGAGGGTCTGCTGGAGATTGGCCGGGATGTGTCAGCTGACCGGAGTTTGCCACGAACCGCAGCGAACCGTTTGCGAGAAGTTCGCGGACGGTTCGCGACATCTCTAATGACTATGCTGGTGTTCATTTTGTTTCTGATGATTATACCTGAGTAGATTATTGTGTATCTCATTTGCATAGAACTAATGACTAACTGAATCAGTTTGCTGATCATAACATGCATAATATGTTGTTTCATGATCATGATGTTCATTATATGCGGGCAACTTGCCAATTCAGATATCTTTCACTTTTTTCTTTTTCTTTCAGAGTGATTGGTTTCTCTTCAAGGGAAGGATTAATTTTCCGTGTTTCTACACAAAGGACCTACCTGGAGTTGGAATAATACTGTTTAATTGAACTTTTTAGGACTTACAGTCAGGTCCATAAATATTGGGACATCAACACAATTCTAATCTTTTTGGCTCTATACACCACCACAATGGATTTGAAATGAATGAACAAGATGTGCTTTGACTGCAGACTTTCAGCTTTAATTTTGGGGTATTTACATCCAAATCAGGTGAACGGTGTAGGAATTACAACAGTTTGTATATGTGCCTCCCACTTTTCAAGGGACCAAAAGTAATGGGACAATTGGCTGCTCAGCTGTTCCATGGCCAGGTGTGTGTTATTCCCTCATTATCCCATTTACAAGGAGCAGATAAAAGGTCCAGAGTTCATTTCAAGTGTGCTATTTGCATTTGGAATCTGTTGCTGTCAACTCTCAATATGAGATCCAAAGAGCTGTCACTATCAGTGAAGCAAGCCATCATTAGGCTGAAAAAACAAAACAAACCCATTAGAGATAGCAAAAACATTAGGTGTGGCCAAATCAACTGTTTGGAACATCCTTAAAAAGAAAGAACGCACCAGGAAGATCATGGAAAACAATTGTGGTGGATGACCGAATAATTCTTTCCCTGGTGAAGAAAACACCCTTCACAACAGTTGGCCAGATCAAGAACACTCTCCAGGAGGTAGGTGTATGTTTGTCAAAGTCAACAATCAAGAGAAGACTTCACCAGAGTGAATACAGAAGGTTTACCACAAGATGTAAACCATTGGTGAGCCTCAAAAACAGGAAGTTTGCCAAACAACATCTAAAAAAGCCTTCACAGTTCTGGAACAACATCCTATGGACAGATGAGACCAAGATCAACTTGTACCAGAGTGATGGGAAGAGAAGAGTATGGAGAAGGAAAGGATCTGCTCATGATCCAAAGCATACCACCTCATCAGTGAAGCATGGTGGTAGTAGTGTCAGCATGTATGGCTGGCAATGGAACTGGTTCTCTTGTATTTATTGATGATGTGACTGCTGTCAAAAGTAGCAGGATAAATTCTGAAGTGTTTCGGGCAATATTATCTGCCCATATTCAGCCAAATGCTTCAGAACTCATTGGACGGTGCTTCACAGTGCAGATGGACAATGACCCGAAGCATACTGCAAAAGCAACCAAAGAGTTTTTTAAGTGAAAGAAGTGGAATGTTATGCAATGGCCAAGTCAATCACATGACCTGAATCTGATTGAGCATGCATTTCACTTGATGAAGACAAAACTGAAGGGAAAATGCCCCAAGAACAAGCAGGAACTGAAGACAGTTGCAGTAGAGGCCTGACAGAGCATCACCAGGGATGAAATCCAGCATCTGGTGATGTCTATGCGTTCCAGACTTCAGGCTGTAATTGACTACAAAGGATTTGCAACCATGTTTTACTAAGTAAAAGTTTGATTTATGACTGTTAATCTGTCCCATTACTTTTGGTCCCTTAAAAAGTGGGAGGCACATATACAAACTGTTGTAATTCCTACACCGTTCACCTGATTTGGATATAAATACCCTCAAATTAAAGCTAATTTCAAATCCATTGTGGTGGTGTATAGAGCCAAAAAGATTAGAATTGTGTCGATGTCCCAATATTTATGGACCTGACTGTATGTTACTTGTTACGTTCCCTGTGTTTTTTTTACCTGTTTATTATACACTACAAAGAAAGAGGAAGTGATGTCACTGTCAGGGCCTTTTATGTATCAAATGACTTTTTTCTTATTGGTTGTTCTGTTTCTGTGCTGCTGGAGATTTTCAGTAAAGAGAGTTATGCAAATATCCTCCTCCTGTCATTACTAAAATTAAGATTATTAGTACACTAAAGCTAATATAATCTTCAATTATGCTAAAAAAGCATAATGAGATAGAACTTAGATTGGACGAATATCACAAAATCCTGATGTTCGAGCAAAGTAAGTTCAAAACTTTGTCTGCTGAATATGATGTCCTTCAGACTAAAAACTCTGATCTTTCAAATAGACTGGAAGAAATGAGCAACATGATACATAATTATGTACAGCAGATGAAACAGATATGTGGCGGAACCAGCCTCGCCACTGGGCATTGGAGAAGACTGATTGCCGGCCTCCTGCCCTGTGACTATGGCCCCATGTTGAAAGGATGGATTTTCCCCTGCAAAGACCCAAAAGCTGGGTCTTTCAGTACTTTCCCTATGTGAGCAGTGTTACCCAGATAGCTATGCCATGGAGCCCATTTGTATAATGAAAAACTATGGGAAAGACTTTGGCTCCATGGCAATTGAACTGTATGTGTGTGCTCTGAGCGCCATTCAGTAATAATGTGCGCTCAGATCTGAGCTATCTGGGGATATGTTGAATGTACCTGTTTTGTGCAATGGCTGCACAGTTATATGTTTTTATGTGTTTTATTGTCTTTTGCTGCCGGGCTTAGTGATAATGAACATTCTAGACTACAAAAAGAAAATGAGAGATATTTGAATGATAGCGAAACATATCTGAAACAGGAACACAATCCAAGTCAACTAATGATGGCTGAGTTTGTAGAACTACTGAATGCAGGCAAAGTATGTGGAATCCTCAGCAAAAAGGAATATGACTACATCCTCTGCAAACATCCCAGAACAGCAGTGTTCTATCATCTGCCAAAAATCCATAATGAATTCCCTTGGCCGACCTATAATCTCAGGGATAGGTTCACTAACC